CAGTAAAATGCTGCCTCTAGATAAATTCAAAGGTTATGACATCCAAGCTGAAAAGACACTGACGCAAAACAAGCAGGAAGACTTCATGAGGTCATGAATGTGGTTGTCACTGTCGGAGAAATGAATACATTTTTAGCATTTGGCAGCGTCAGAGGATTAAAGTAGAACGGGTAAGTCCACGGCACAGTTGTTAATTCTGTAAATAAAATTATCATTATCAGATTAAATATTCAGCATGTTTGCGATCGTCTGTCGTCAAATGTTTTAATCGATTGCTGATAAAATAAATGAATTTAAGATGTGTAACACTGGCTCTGATGCAGCTGCCTCTCTGTCTGTAGTCACTCTGTGCTCATAAACAACATCCTGCCTGCAGCATTATCTGATTGGTGAAACATCACAAGTAACAGCCTATCAACATTAAACAATGTTGAATCGTTCTCTTTCTAATAAACATATGCAAAATCTGAAAAACAAAGACATTTCAACACAGTTTTGTATTGTTCTATATTTGCAACCAAGGTTTTGATTTATATTTTGGATTTCTGCTGATACATAACACCATGTTCCTAGATAATACACACTTCAAGTTGTGTAGATCAGCTGTAGTATCTGATAGTTTCAGCAGGTGGAGCCTCTTACTGTTTATTACTGTGGTGACCAGAGGAGGTGTGCATTGCCTTGTTTGCAAGCAGAGAGCATTGTGGGAGTTTAGCTCGTAAAGGAGCACTGTGATAGAGATTTGTATGAGGCTTGATAACTTCGGGCAAATGAATTGGGCAAGTTTATGCCAATACCGTGATCAGCTCTGATCAGGAGCACGTCCCTAGTTTTCATTTTGTCTGCAAATGTACATCAGTTTCAAATATCTGGTCTCCTTGATGACTAACAATCAGTCCTGTTACAACCTTATGGATCAACTCCTCCCATCAGCCACACCTGCATGGAATCAAGTACAACAGCCCTGGATGAATTCCTATCTTGGTGAATATTGCTCATGTGTTCATTGGCGTAGTTCTTCTTGAGATGTTAGCTGATGTTGAACACATTGAACTGCAATACTGTTTGCAGAGCTGGTAACTTGTGCAGATTTCTACATTTGTGCCAGGCTTGAATTAGCAAAAAATGAATTAAAAAAGTACAGTAAAAATGACTGGACTAGCTTTCCTCAGTGCTGCTTGACTGTGGAGTAGAAAGGGTCCTCAGAAACTCTGGTCGGGTGGTTGACTGTGGAGTAGGTGGGGTGTTGGCTG